TCGGAGTCCGTTGCAGGATGCTCAAAGGGCCAGTGTAGGGAGGCTGGAGAGGGCGTCGCACTGCGTCGGTGCGGAGAAAGACGTGAGTGCAGGTAGACAGTCCACTGTGCATTTGCACTTCTCTAGTCTGCTCACGAGACGGAGTCGGGCGTAGTGAACACGTGTTAAGTCAGGGAGGACGCAAAGTTAGGCGGAGACATACCGGAGTATGCGGGAAGTGAAACGAATTCTCCAGGAAACTGTAGTGTTGTGCCATAAGCTAGCTCTGCTGGTACACATTACAAGTCAACTTTGATGCTGCTGCGAATGCCTAGGAGTACGAGCGAAACGTTTTCGCTCCAGCTAGGGTCGGAGGAGGCGCAGAGCGAGGCTTCTAGCTGTCTATGGAGCCGTTTAACTAACCCGTTAGTTCCTGTGTGATACGCTGTGGTGTGAATGCATCGGCAGCCCAGAACGCTGCAGAACGTATCGAATTGTGAAGATTCGCAAGGCGTTCCTCAGTCGGTTGTAACGCTGCGTAGGCATCCGTACTGCGAGAACCACCGGTCCAAGAAGTCCCAGATAACAGTCTCAGTCTGTTACGGGAATAGCTTCTGGCTATCCGGTGAAGCGTTCGACGCATGGAAGAACGTATACGAATCCGCGTACCGGCGTTAAGGGACCTACCAGGTCTACGTGTACATGCGAGAACCGAGATTCCGGGGGCAATAATTGAGCTAAGAGGACTGCGGGCTTGACGATGTATTTTGGAGCGCTGTCACTGAAGGCAGGCGCGAGCCTAAGTAAGAATATCCCTGTTTACGCGTGGCCAAACGAAACGTTCGGTGACTAGTTTCAAAGATGCACGGATACCGGGATGAGATAGTGAGTGCAGTGATTCAAAGACTGTGAGTCTGAAGGAGGCAGGCACGAGGTGTCTAGGACAACCTGTGGAAGTGTCACAGAGAATGGTTCCTTCCGTGATTTGGAGAGGAACAGGTTGCACATGCAGCGAAGTGGACTGCAGAGTGCGTTGTGTCTTCATCTTGAACCCGAGCCGATGCCATAGCCGCAAGGTCGACTGTAGGCAAAGACTGGAGAGTGAGGTTGACGCGTGAGAGAGCGTCGGCAACGGAATTGTCGACACCTGAGACATGATGTATGTCAGCAGTGAACTGCGTGACAAAGTCTAGGTGTCTTGTTTTCCGTGGTGAGTATTTGTCGCAAGTAGAGTTGGAGCCAAAGATGAGGGGCTTGTGGTCAGTGTAGAACGTGAAAGGGCAGCCTTCAAGTGTGTGCCGGAAGTGGCGAATGGCTAGGCAAATGGCGAGCAGTTCTCTGCCAAACGCGCTGTAGCGGGATTCCGCTGGCAACAGACACATCTAGAAGAACCCAAGGGGTTGCGGTTGCTGGCCAACATGTTGCTTGAGAACAGCTCCTACCGCGACGTCTGAGGTTTCGGTCGTAATAGAAAGGGGTGCAGTCGGTTCGGAATGATCGAGGAGTACTATGTTGGAGATAGCATCCTTGAGCTAGGTGAAGGTTGTCTGTGCTGTGTAAGAGTAAGTAAACTTACGTTCATTCCCTCTGAGTAGGTCAGTCAGAGGGTGCACGAGCTGAGCGTATCACGGAATGTATCGTCAATAGTAGTTGACCAAACTATAAAATCGATGGAGGTGCAAAAACGAAGTCGGAGCTGGGAAGTCCTTGATTGCCTGGATCTTATCAGGAAGGACTTCGATACCAGACGATGAAACGAGGTGGCCTAGGAATTCTACCGTTAATTTGCCGTGTTCGCACTTAGTCGGGCTGATTGTGACACGGTGTTGGGTTAAGCGCTGGAAGAGAGTACGAAGGTGCTCGAGGTGCTTTTGTTCCAATGAACTGGCGACTAAATTTCTTGGAGGTAGGAAAAAGCGAAGTCCAGACTACGAGTGACATGGTGCATGAAGTGTTGGAACGTTTGTGCGGCGTTGCACAGTCCAAATGGCATCCTTAAAAATTCAAACATGTCTAAAGTAGTGATAATGGCTGTTTTAGGAATGTCATTCTCTGCTACAGGTATCTGGTGATAGGCGCGAACCAGGACGATCTTGCTGTAGATCGTCTTACCTGTGAGGCATGCGGTAAGGTACTTCATGTGCGGGATAGGATACTTATCTAGTACGGTTAGCCGAAGGAGTGCGCGGTAACCACCGCAAGGGCGCAAGTCACTAGATTTTTTGTGGACCATCTGCAGAGGCGAGGACCAAGGACTGTCGGAAGGACGGATTTTTCCAAGTTCGAGTATGTGCTTAAACTCCGCCCTAGCTGCCTTAAGCTTCTCAGGCGATAGTCGGCGTGGACAGCATGAGGCCGGTGGGCCATTCGTCCTTATGTGTTGCGTGACTTGGGCTACCACGGGCAAAGCTGCCTTCATTGACTGAACGTGCTTGAAATACTGGTAAAAGTGGTTGGCGTAATCTGCTGTGGTCTGAGGAAAAGCGTAGACGGGTGTTATTGATGCGATGTCGGCGGTGATGCCACGTACACTGAGTTTTGTTGTAGCGTCGACTATCATCTGGTGTTTCGCATCGACCAGAAGGACGAAGTGCCTGAGAAAGTCAATTCCGATGATGGCAAATGGGACTGCAGCGACGGTGAATACCCAGCGGAACGTGCGCGGAAGGGTTAGGTCCAGGGTAAGCGACCGGTGACCGTAGGTGGCTATTGGTGTACTATTGGCAGCACATAAGCTTGTCGACAGAGAAGCGGTAGGCTCACCTGGCATAGGGGGAATGACGCTGACTTCCGCCCCGGTATCAACTAAGAATTGGATCTCGGAATCATAATCTATAATGTAGATGAGACGACTTTATGCCTTGCCGACAACTTTAGTCGCCATTACAGGTCGACCTGGCAGACCATCTGTAGCGGGGTAGCTTCATGTCAGTACGCACTTACGAGCTTTATTACCGAAACGCGAGTGGGAAAAGCAGTAACCAGTGGCAGCAGGTTTTGTGCAACGAGCGATGATCTTGAGCGGCTGCGGTGCTTACGGTTTAAAGTGAGTTCCTCGATCTGGCGCTGAAGCGACGCTGTCTGCGATGACAATGCCTTTATTGCCGACGGCTGGCTAGGCGCGCTTGTCGGTGTGGTTGCGCCAGCACAAAGCTGCATAGGTGCTTTGGTTTCAGTCTCTGGCTGGTGCCGTTCGATGGCGCGGTCTGCTAGATCTGCGATTGCTGTGATTGGCAGGTCACTTTCTATTGTAAGGATGGCCTGAGTGATTTCAGGAAGGCGTTGCATCCATAGCTCGTGGAAAATCCGTACGTCCATGTTGGACGTGCCAATGCGCTGTTGCATTTCGCACAACAAGGCTGAGGGCATCCTATCTCCTAGTTGCAGATCACTAAATAGTTGCTGCAAACGGACCTTGTCAGAAGGATGATTTACTGAATAATAGCCTATTTAAGAGTCCCGTATTTCATTAGTAGAGGGGGGCAAAATATGATGTCTCTCACCTGCGAGGATATACCCTGAGGAAAGCGAGATATTAGCTAAGTATACATGGCGAAATCAGAAGAAATCCTACGAATGTACAAAAGCGGATTCTAAGTGCAAAAACCACAAAGAAGGATCATTCTCCCAAAAAGATGGAGGGGCTATCGCAACAGAATTGACTGTGACAGGGTCAACGGCGTTAACCGCGTATGGAGATTGCCCATCCCCTAGCTAATCCATTGCAAAAAGTGAATAAAAAATTTGGTAGGTGAGAAAAAATACCACAAGTAATGAATCACAAAATCACTGGAACGAGGGCAGAATGAAAATTCAAAATGGCGGACGGCATGTTCTGGACCGGGGTCACCAATTGTTGCGTGGCGTCTGGACTACTAGTCGGTAATCAATGACACGTTAGAGCCATGCTAAATACGGGACGAGATAGAAGTTGGAGGCAACAGAACCCAACCTATATTGTGCAGACCACAAAAAATAGGAAGCGAATCAACCAGCGCGAGAAATGGTGCAGCGAGATTCTCACCAAAATGCTTTGTGTCAGCGGATGTCGTCAGTAAAACAAGTGGACGTTTTGAAGGTTAAAACAACCGTAAAATCCAATGTTACAAAATACTGAAAGAGCATGTCTTCCGGCACACTACAAGGTATGGTTAGCCAATGCCATGTCGAAGTGTTCGCACTGGAGCAATGGTTAATAACGGGTATAAACGCAAATGCTTGCCTAACCCCGTGGGTGATTAGGGTGAGTAGTACCCGATAAAAATATAGCATCGTTAAATGAACACGCGAAACATATGACTCACCAAGATGTTTGCAGTATCATAGATGTGAGTGTTCCTGCGTGGTATTCGAAAGGAGTATGACCGTCGACTGTTTGTTTTAAACTAATGCCATCATCTTTTGGCCCTGGGCTCTATCATGTAGTGTAAATGTGTCACGGTATCGTCACTGCGTTCCTTGTATAGTGATAATGTGGCGCATCAATGGCATGCACTTGGAAGAAGTTCCAGGACAATCATGCTTTACTAGCCAGTAAAGAAAATATGATACGTTTTGGGCAGAACCCTATGCAGCATTTGGAACATGGTTTAGCCTGACATAATCTCCATTGCGTTCTATCATTGATGCATGTGTACACCATTGCATGTCTGATGTGTTGCATATGTTCGTCCGTTGCTAGTCTACATTCCTGACTGCTGATGTCATGACAACCCGGGTGCACTTATATCCGCTTTCAGATTCAGCCTCCTGAGGCTATTTAACCTCTCGCACACTAACGGCAAACACACCTGCAGCAATACTATGAGTAGCGCAAAGAAAAAGAAGAAAGAAGAGCTACAGAACAAAGAAACCGTATAACTTCCTTGTGAATTTATCTGTTCTAGTTTGATAAGCTTGACATTGAACTTCACAAAGCGGAGTCAGCTGTGTTATTGCTGAAATGCCCCGAAGACGAAGTAAAAATCAAAGCCTGTGAGGCGCTGTTCAGCTTTCTCTACAAATGTACCATCTATTTCTACATGGTTATTTGGTATTTAGCCGAAGAGAATGTAAAGAAGTTGGTGAGCCAAAGCTTTGTTGAACAACTCTTCCCGCTGCTACGGAGTGATGATGCTGTTTTGAGACGAAATACCACTATGGTGTTTGGAATCCTTTCAGGTTACTTTTTGTGTAGGGCGCAGCTGCGGAAGATAACGAATCATTTCCCTGTCTTGCTCAAGTTGTTGCAAGATGGTAAGTATTCTTAATCAAATCTCATCCTGGACGCCTTGTTCAGATTTGAATACTACGAAAGAATTTGCATTGATGACAATCAAAAATATGTGTCAGGATTACATAAGCATTCATGACGTGCTTGAACGTAGAGGCTTACCACTTTTGATTGATTGCTTGCGAGTATCTGATCCCGACGTACAAAAGAATGCGATCGATGCGCTCTATCTTATCATGCAGGTAAATGCAACTTATTGCATTGTTCAGTTATCAAGCAGGATTTTGAAGCACGTCCAGTATTGAAATCAGCGAACGGTCTTGCGCCAATAGTGGATCTTCTTGACTCCGAGTATCCAGTGATTCAAGAGTCCGGTCTTAGGACTCTAATAAGTGCTACCCATGATGGTAAGTGATATTTTAGCAATCTTCAAATTGTGTGCCACGAAGCATTTGGGGCTTTTAAGATTGGATGAAAAATGATGGTTCCCCAAATTGGTAGGATAACAGCTTGTTTTACCGGTTGAGTTTGACATTGGATATGTCTCCCAAGCACCGGTCAGTGACTGGCCAGTCTAGGTTAGCAAACATATTTGTGTAAATCAGTACCTTACGTGGTTACTAATAAGGTTAACCAGGTTTGGCGTGTCATACCAAATAGATAGAGACTATCTAGTCCAACAGTTAGAAGCTACAGTCGCTGGACTCCAACTTCGTATAGTTAAACGCATGAGAAGGCCCAGCACCTAATTTATATCTATCTATCTATCTATCTATCTATCTATCTATCTATCTATCTATCTATCTATCTATCTATCTATCTATCTATCTATCTATCCATCTATCTATCTATCTATCTATCTATCTATCTATCTATCTATCTATCTGTCTGTCTGTCTGTCTGTCTGTCTGTCTGGCTGTCAATCAATCTATCTACATATGGAAATGTGTATAAAACGCGGACCCAATGAGAAATGATATTTCCAAAAAGCTTATAATTTTTAGTGCACCTAGAAATTAGAGAACCTGATTACGCGGAGTGGTTTTAAGAGAACAAACTGGCAGCACAATGGTCAGCATTCCGGGAGAAAATTTGTAAGGTTTAAGAAATTATAACCGCTTGCAGATACTCAGGATGATCAGACAGCCGGTGTTGAATAATAGTGCGCATTCTATTACACCTAACCCCCCCCCCAATATTCCGACATTTTAGCTATCAGTTATTACGCACTAAATGCGAAAATGGTGTTCATCCAATTTGGTAAGAAGTATAGTGAGCAACTCAGTCGCCGCATTTCCTTTGTTCATTGTTTTTGTCTACAACTAAAACGGCTTTTGATGCCTTATGTTGCCATAGGTGTGACAAGTTTTCCTTCAGAACTTTTAGTTACTTAGGCGCGTTACCTCAGTGAAGTGTTCCTGATAGATACGTAATGTAAACAAAGGTTCGTGTAAGGGATATGGATTAAGCATGCATTTGTTACTTGAAACATCATGTGTCTTGCCAGATGGTCAAAATTTGTTTGCTTAACCCTTAATTTTGCACACTGTTGGTGAAAATCAAAAGTGCTTTAATGCAATGCAGAAACAAGCTTGATTCACCAAATAACTTAGACTATGCGAATTCCCAGTACACAAAATATGGTCTAACATACATTTATGTTCAGTATATCAGATTGTTATGAAATCGAGTATTTTCGATGGCATCACTTGATGTGCTATTACAGAAAGCCTAAGAAGAGGTAGACGCGGGAAAAATTGCCAGACGCTAAAGGAACGCTGTCAAAATGTTTGGTAAAAATAGCCTCTCCTAGTTTAAAATGATATGGATATAGCGTCTAGCGAGAAGACATCACATCGAAGGCTAGCCACTGTCAGTGACAGTGGAAGATAGGTGGTGCTATATCCCAGTTAGCCTGCAAATTATGTAGCTCAGTCAAGGTCCCCCATGGCTCAGTGGCTTAAGCTGCTGGCCAGTTGCTATCTGCCTCCAGTGGTCATGGCTTCGATCTCCAGTAGAGGACCGAGGGAATGCGCACCACTGACGAGCCCAGTAGGGCGAAACACGTCTGGTGCTTTTCTGGACTAGGCTGTGCTATGTAGCTTGTGAACTAATGGGCTGAATACTTTAAAAGATTACCTCTGAAATTCCTGCTACTCACGAGTGATATAAAATCAAAACAGTTGGGTCAGAATTTCTGATCAAGTTCACGGTTGCAGTGAGCAGAATGGAGGACCCATGTTAGCCCCATCACCACCAATTGAGCACTAGGAACACATAGGTCGTCGCCACCCGGTAGTCCTCAGGGAACCAAAGCAGTCGCAGTAGGACAGTGCGGTCTTGGTGTCTTGCATAGGTGAGTATCTAAGGGCAATTTGAACCATCCTCGGTCGTCGCATCAACAACAGTCGCCGGTAGACGATTCCAGCCATTTATCCCCATAGTGGAAATGAGCGACGCCGGTGCCGACTTCGAGTATCCTCGATCTGAATAGCTTTCAGTTGTGAATTCGTGTCAAGCCACCTATGTTGAGCTGACGAAGCCGCTGTAGCTTGTTCCCAATTTCCCCTCTTTGTATGTGCCCCGTAAACATGAAGTGTCCAAGAAAAGCGACGGTATTCCATGGAGAACAGATCCTTGTCCTGAAGCTGGAGGGAAGACGGAAGATCATGAAACCCGGAAACGGACTTAGAGCCACGCCTCTGCACGTTTTCGACTTAAGCACATTCAAGTTTATAATCGGAAGATAGCTAGCAGCCCATACTCTGGAATCGGTCGTACATGGAAGGTGAACAGAAGCCTAAAGACCTTCGGTGTTTTTCGAAGGAAGAATCTTCTTATGGCACAGCACATCCTGTTTGCAGCGGCATTCACTTTCAATGTCTCCTGTGTTGGATTTTAGGTCAGGCGCTATTATTGCTCCTACATCTTTCTCCTGAGCGACTTGTTTAAGAAGGCACCGACCAATGTGATAAATTCCAGGTGGCTGAGAAGCCCCGATCGATATGGCACAGCATTTTTCGAAGTTTATTGGTAGGCCTTACTTGATGAACCAGCTATGCAGTTGATTAAGGGTCACCTCTAGTAGATCAGCGGTGTCAATTGCAGCCACTTCAGACCACAGCTTGAGGTCGTCCGCATAGATAAAGCATTCGGTTTGGAGTGCTGCAGCAAGATCATTGATATACAGCTTGAATATTTTGGGTCCGAGAATGGATCCTAGTGCTACACCGCGTGACTTGATCACTGGCTTGGAAAGCGTCTCGTTCACTCTCACTTGTATGGTCCGACCTTCCAAGACTTCGGCAATCTACGAGTGAAGGTTGCTACTAACACCGATTTCCACAAGTGGACAGAAGTACGCACATTATAACCAAGTGGGTAAGCGAATGGTCACACTACATCAAGGTATTGGTTCTTTGCCAACCTGCGGGACTCGTTAAGTGTATGCTTTTTTACCAGTCATATACCATTGTTCCATTGTTCCATTGTTTCGACAGTTTAATGTGTAGCAGAACTAATCGTTCCATGCTCTCAACAGGTTTGCCCAGAGAAACTCAGGTTGCGTTGGTCGAGGACCACATGTGTTAAAGGATAGTAGCAGTCAGCGTTTTTCTGAAATTGAGTCAGGTTAAAAATTTGCCTTTATGTACACAGCTTTCACCGATTATCGGGAACGGTTCGCACTAACTCATCCATATCGCATTTACCCTAACTTGACTAAGTTTATAAATGACACACTGGTCGGGTGAACACACTTGGCGGATCAGTTGGTGAGTTGACCTCCGGAAATATCACCGTTGCTTATATTAGCGAAATAACGAAGAAATACTAATGGCTTGTGGGAAATGTTGTACACCGATGTATACCGACTAATGTAGTATTAAGCCTCCTGTGAGTTGTGGAACAAGGTACAACCCGACAAATTCTGTGGTTTGCGGCAATCTGTTTTACAGCACGTGAACAGTGCTTATTGTGGACTCTAAAGTGATCCCATTACCTGTGCGATATATCGCAAATGCTAAAATATGCAGATACCTAACCACGTACCCGAAGATTCCATGGCTGACGAGCAGTTTGGTCTTCTTACTTAATGGTAGTGTATTAGAAATTTTCAGTCCTAATGCGGTGGGCCAAATCCTTACCTAAGATAGACAAAGTGCAATCGGTTAGTGTGATATGGATTGTCAACAAAAGAAGCTTAGCTCATACTAAGTGGATTTGTCAACAATGCTAAAAAGGTGTAAGCGGTATGCTTAAATACACCAATAGGAAAAAAGCGATGTTGAGAATCTATCAGGTGGGCTTATATGTTGTTTCATTATTTATTGAAATATTCTGTGTCCAGAACAGCTTAGTAAGTATCTACTGTGTAGGGGCAGATATCGGATTTCAGGTCGTTAACAATACAATTAAATGAGAAAATATATGCGCTGCAAAAAAGTTTGCTAAAATTTAAATCTGGAAATATTCCACAATTCGCTTTCGATTTATCTACGCGACTGTTTATTGTGCACCTGACTGGCACACCATAGGCTTAAGTTCAGCGTCGACAGCTGTTAACTAATTACCTATGCAAAACGATTGGATTCTACCATCGCTACTGATGGAAAGCATTAGTAAGTCTGTAGTGGACCGTTACCTAAAACCTTCAAGTCCACAGACAAAAGACAATCTCAGGCAAAAGCTCACAATTGAAGAACCATTAGGCATGCTTGCTTTATGACGCTTCCTTAAGACACCGACAATCCGATGTCGACTGGTGGTTCGTAGCTGTATCCGACAGCGGAAAAGAAAAGGCGACAGCACCAGCACAGGCGGCAGCAAACCAAGCCAGCGCGAAGTGAGAGCGTTGAAGTTGTGTATTCATAGTTTGTGAATTTTAACAAACGTTACAACATAGTCCATAACCGAAGTGAGAAAAACGTAGATAAAATATGCTGTAATCACAACGACTACAAGTCTAAACTAAGTCGCGGAATATTTATGAGAAATATTTCGTTAGCTTTCACTGTCTTTATCGGAATACCCAACCAGTTTAGCTGGATTTTGAACATGTTCTCCTCTTGGCTGCACCATGACCTGCCTTAGTAAAATGATGCAAACTTTTTGAGATAAAACATCAGTTAATAACTCAAGCCAGTCTGATCAACCAATAACAATCGTTGCTGCATCTTAACAATCACTGATAGTAAGTACGTTAAGTAAACCACCCAAAATGTTTTAGTCAGGTTCAATAGAGCATTCTGAAGACACTGACTTCAGTATGGGCAAAAACATTTATGTTTATCTCGACATCAATGCCAGAATGACGAGCATTGAATAACTTGCAAAGTTAAGCACAAACATCGCGAAGCAGCATAAGTTATTCAGACTATCCCAGTCACGAGTCGACTAAGTAAACACTGATGATCATGACATGCAAGGCACCAGGTCTCTTGACAAGTCATTGATCTGAAATTTTGTAAGATTTCACGACGTACAGACAACGTATAACCAAGTCCAAATCACTGGCATTGCAAACGAGCAGGGCCTATTTAGTTCTCTCCGTGGAGATAGATAGTCTTACTCGCAACTGCGTATAAATTTGGTTTTGGAAATGATGTCTTCCATGTGAGTTACTCGGCTAGTAATGGAAATACTGAGTAGACAGGTAAAAGGCTTCCACTGACCACAACACTTCCACAAAATCAACGTCTGTCCTTTGTTTCCGTACAAAGTTTAAGTTGTTTGAAAGGCCCATTGGACAAACGGTGGATGTCCTGCATTTGTAAGCCTTACAGATAAGAAAGAAGTGTATTGATTTGTACATTAGATGATGAAATACTTGTTGCTAGTAGCTACCTGCAATGAAGATTACATGAGTAAAAAGATGTTTTACTTTTTCACAAGCCTCTGTTCGCAGTGCCCTGCTCGACACAAGCGTGTTGGACAAGTTTGTGAAAATCGTTGGCAACCCAGAACTGTACGATTTGCACGTTTCGGCTCTTGGATTAATAGCGAACATGTTGGAAGATCCGGAATGTGCCAAGGTAAGATAGAGTGTTGGGTTCTTCCCTCATTCACATTTCTTTCCTCAGGTTCTTATCAACACTGGTAGACTGCAGCTTTTGTTGCATTATGTAACGGATAAAACGGTATATAAAGATTCAGAGCTCACAGAGCTGTCTGAAAGTCAAATTACCAAAGAAAAGCCCACGAAAGGGAAGAAACAGGCAGCCAAAGGTAGCCCTCGAAAGCACAAGGGTGAGATACTTGGTAAGTGTACGTTGATTGGGGCGCTATCTACCCAGGCATTGCACGACTGTGTCTATGTTATTGGGTTCACATTGTACAATACTAAGTAACGATTACAATAGGCAGTTATCCAGTAGTCCATTTTTGATGGTTTGTGAGTTTACAAAGCCCTGCAGATGAATTCCGACTTTAACGTTAATTCCATAATGAAGAATTGTATTTCAGATGCCAAAATATGAACTGTAACTACTCAGTCTAGCTTGACCAGAGATAGCCGTATCAGTCTCTCCGGACGCTTGTGGCCATTAGCGAGAAGACAAGCCTGGTACAGTTAGTTCGAAAATCCGTGAGCGTCATTCATCTTAGTTTCGGACAGGCAACGACGATAACTAGGGTTCAGCTAACTCATCATTCTCACTCCCAAACAGCCAGCTTAGGCTAGTCTGGAAAAGCACCAGACGCCGGCGTTTCAACCTTCTGGGTCTCCTCAGTGCTGCGCTTCCCAGCAGACCCCTGCCGGGTTCCGCCCCCAAGACTTCAGGATGCCAGCAGGTAATGCCACTACACCATGGGTGACAGCCGCGGACCTGCGCGATTGACCAGGGTGTCTAACATGAGTGCGAAGGCAACCTGTCACCACATTAGTATTTGTTGCTGCATAGTAGCCGGATGGTAGCTTTCCGGGACGATGACCATCGATATTGAGAACGCAGCTGGCGTGCACCTGTTGTATGTTTTTATTTTATTTTCTTATGTATGGAGGCATAGTAGCTGAGGTGTTATCCACTGCTGGCTAAGTTGGATAAGGATAATAAATTAGTTTTACAATTATGTGAAGTTAGTAAGAGCTTTATTTTGTGAACCTTCGTCGCATTTAGACTCAGGCAGATAGCCAGCACCCATCCAGGAAAGCGCTAGGCGGCCGTTTCGTCCTTCCAGATTCGAACCCACTTCTTTGCTCTCATGAGCCAGCGACTTATGCCACTGTACCCCGGGCGACATCAGCGGACCGCCATGACTGATATCAATCCGGCGGAATTCGACTGGTACACGCTACTGTTGAGTCCCAATAGGACGAAACGGCCGTCTAGCGCTTTCCTAGATGTGTGGTGGCTGTCTGTCTGAGTTTAACTGCGACAAATCTTCACAACATAGTTTTACAGTCCGAATGATGAACACCGAAAGGAAAACATGACAGTGTTGCTGTCGCCGATGGGCATCTAGTGCCTGTTGTGGGAAGATAGCTGCAGAGGATAGAACTGCAGTGGCATTGCGGCTGCCGTCAGTTGAAGTGGAATCATAGAATGAAGGTTAGTATTGAGAGTTTCGATGGGAGTAAAACAGGTGGAAAAGAAAGGAGGCGCCTGCAGTGGCTTGTTTTCACTTACTCGCGCTGCGGTATGCAGCAGATAAGGCGATTTGCGATAAGCTGCACGACGGCCGATGCAAGGTGTACTTCGGGTTTGAAGAAATAGTCATGGCTGTACTTGGGCTGAGATACTGCAAGTGTCAGCAGACTTAGATAAGAGAAGGATTAGGGTCCTCAAGCAAAGCCATTGGCTGAAAAGCCTGTCCGCAGAGCAGCGGATGCAGCAACGATTCGGTTTTACAGGAACGGAAGCCATCTCATTTTAAACCCCTAACATAGCGGACCCGGAGACTGAGTTCATCTGGCCACTAATCATCGACCAGCCTGGTAGGAGTAGCTTTCAAGAGACCTAAAGGCCCCACCCATTATAGCTCAATGGGTCTATGAAGTACGTAAACCGCCCCACCGCGCTAAGTTTCAGTCTGTTTGCGACGGCCTAGTTGGTTATACTTACGGTTTATCTTTAGTATGGTCGCAACTTTTACATCCTCACAGGTTTGAAGAACTGCAAATGTCGGCCATTCCTGAAAGGACGGTACTGGCGGCCAGGATAATTTTATGCGCATGATGGTCCTGAAAGTCAATTTGTCGCAATTTGCATTTCGAATCATGATCTCATAACTTAAGGCAATTCTTTTTGGGGCTTAGTGCAAAAAGAGTCATCAAAGAATGTGCCTGCAATCTAATGAGAGTGCCAACGTTTTCAAATAATCATAAACAAACCTCTCACATGATCACAAAATACGGTGGGATGAAGCTGGCCTTAAATATGCAGGGGGAGCGGGTTATGGCATCTCACAACACTGGAATACGTCCTTCATGTAACACCTCATTTGATATCTGTAGGCTACCAATGTTAATAAGTCTGTAACTGCATAGGTTAAAAACGTCACGATGCCATGAACTCTGACGGTGGGGTTTTACGAAGGTTATAAAGACTTATGAGTTGGGATTTGAGTACAAACTAGGAAAAATTAAGCAGTATAGTCAAGTCAAGTCAAGTCAACATAAGCTTTATGCATCCACATGGGTACATTTTCCGCTTTTTACAATACCGACTACACATAGGCTAAAATTACATTATCAAACTTTTAAATTTTTATGAATAGAAAAAGAACACTGGGTACAAATGTCAGTTGATTAAACGGTCAGTGTAAACGAGCAACACTTAAATACTTTAGGATGGAATAATATAAAGCTGCATTCTGTTTGGAGGCCAGCGTTGTAAGCGAGATTTCCAATCGAGACGGTCCATCTTCAAGTGCGTAATGTCTCGAGTTTTTCTCAAAACTTTGGCCAAGGACATCAAGGTTGACCTTGGAAATAGTATGACAAAGCGCAAGCTTGAAGTATTCCGAGAGCACTAACGTATCCATAGCGATATGGTAAAAACGACTTTCAGTGAAACCTGCATTAGTCAAGTAGATACACAGGGGACGGTACTTGTCTACTAAGTTCATCGCCTGGGCTTTAACGACGAATAACAATGTCACAACTTATTCAGATTCCGTAGTGACCATATCCTACCAGCGAATTGCGAAGTTGCAGCCCAACACATCAAATACCTCACAAACTGTTGGTCAATTTAAGTGCTATCGGTGTTGCTGCTTCCATCGGCCACATTCTGATTTCAGTATTGCATCAAATAAGCTATTTGTTACCCACTAAATCACCGCTCGCTAAATAAACTTGTAAAAAGAGCGCATATCTTCAGCTTAATATTGGCCTATCATTTTAAATAAATGAGTAGGCAATAACATGTATTGATAGTGTAGTAATTCCATCCCTTTCTTCTTTCAGCCGAAGCAGAAAAGGACAAAACTGTAACAAGTATCACTCCGGAGGCCAAGATACACGCATGCCAGGCCATGATGCGAGCAGCACACAGAGGTGGATCGTAAAATGCAGTTAGAACTATCAGTTTCGCTATTATAAAACCGTTTCCAAGATGGTTCTTCACCGTTAGCTAACGTTGTTTGTACCACAACAACTTGTGTTCACTCTACGTACCGACTGAAATTTGATAGTCCACAACTCGGAATATTGAGCGGCGAAACGGCGCGTTTTATAAAAGGGTTGTGACCATTGCGAATGCTAAGCAGTTTGACAGCTTCAGTCAACTTCTCTCATTTGCTCTGTAATCATGGGCTGTTTCTAATTTATCGGGGTATGTTTGAGTAAGAAGAATGATAAAATTAGAAAAGGGGTGATTTTCAGGAGGAATTATGAGACCCATCAAATATTTTTATGCTTGTTGAATTTCAGATGACGTAAGAAAAATTCTGCACGATGCGGACGTTGAGAGAATGTTAGTCGCACTACTATCACACGAGGACGAAGGAGTGCGTTCTGCGGCGGCAAATGCGATTTCTGCAATGGCTGAGAGCTTCACCTGCCAAGAACGGTTTTTCGAACTAGGTTGGTCTTACTTGGAATCAGTGCATGTACGAATTTTCTGTCTTTTCAGTCTGTCCTATACACAGGAGTTTGGGTGTTGCCTGCCCGAAAACACTGCACACCCAATTTCCGCCTGCTTCAACTACGGTCCTAATGATCACATTGACCAACGTTCACTTCACTTGGAATCGCGGTCCACCTTATGGTTGCGCATCGCAACCCATACAAACGAGTGCTTTAAAAGGACCAATTGAATCATACACTGGAGTATTTTGCCTACTAATGGATGTCAAACAAGAGAGTCACTTTAGGCAATGTGTGAGATGGCCCTCACTTCGTGCGTATTTTATAAATCACAATAACAGGTGGACAAAAACAGTATCACAAGAGCTAGTAGATGACCAACTGCTTGCGACACCATGGTTGGCTTAGGACTAGCATAAGTTATTTGCGCATACATCGCGGTAGTTATTTGCGGTCAATCATGATGGCTGCCGGGAGCCTATGAATGCGGGGAGCTTATTGCGCATCAGGACAGTGAAAGACTTATCAACCTTAAGTTTGCGGCCAGGGTTAAGCAAGTGCCTTGTGACTGCCATGACAGCTGGGTTCCAGTTAACCGAGAAGTCAGTGCCAGAGTTAGGTGTTGTGTGATTAAATTTCTGGTTGATACAATCCTTTTGCTTTAATAGGAGATAAGCTTGAAAATGAGGGCAAGTGTGTTGATAATGTACCAAAGTGAAGCATAAAACTGCGGTGCTGCGAGCCTGTTAGTTGTGTTGTTATTATTACGCCTATGTGAATCCTGTATTTAGGAGAGCAAACTGCTATACTTACGCCGGAAGGCCGACCGCTGTCATCTGCATGGCAGGTGCCTGCATGGCAGTGGAGGATGCGTCGGGCTATATCGCATTTAGCTAACAATTCATGATAGTCAGATACCGTCCTCCATGGCGCAGTTGCATAAGCTGCGGGCTAGTTGGCAAGAGCAACTAGCAGTCATGGGTTCGATCCTCCGCAGAGGACCGAAGGATGCGCACCACTGATGAGCCCCAATAGGGCGAAACGGCCGTCTGGTGCTTTTCCGGATAGCTGGTCGACATATCTGAATTGTCGGCTGATTGCGACGAACAAAAATACTCGCCAAAGTCCTTCCGTTCATAAGTAAATGCTATACTGACAAGTAAGAAGTAACCTGCTTGTTCTTAGCTTTCTGATTGGTCAAACAGTGTCGACATCTTTTAAAATCTCGATTGCCGTTTGAGTGATACTTGTAGATTTATCCCAGTCACGTCCTCGTGTACCATTTCCCTTATTCAGCTCTGGTTTAATAGCACAATTTTTTCCGCCTGCCGTCTTAGTTTTTGCGGCCCAGACCGAGCGTTTGTCTGATGGATTGCTTTGCTATCGGTCATGACCGCTTTAACAACGCACATGATCGATCAGGCGCATTCAAATTCATGCGTATAATGCACCTGCTATCTTAATGACCGTGATGCCAGGGAAATAAGTAAAATTAACGGAAGAAAAGAAAAGTCGTACAAAGTTCCCATACATATAAATCTTCTGGCTTCAATATCTCACACACCACCATCAATTATTCAACTGGACCATTTGCTTAACTGAAAACATGATATTAACAGTTAATCTAACAGATTTAATTTGAAGTAGCTCGCAGCTCAACAAGAGATTTCATGGCTTGATACGAATGTCTGTCGGATAGCTTGAAACTTTTCTAACGCTGTAACAAGCGTTACTTGCGACAATTGCTGCGTTGGGTTTTCTGGCATCATTCAAATTTATGTGTCAGCACAGGTTATCTTTAACTGAGGAATGCAGTCAAACAGGAAGTCGGATATACTGTGTAGTATCGATAGTTCACAAGACCTAGGCTGCATTTGTTGTAGAAATGGTTCCACCGACCGAAATGATCAAAATGCACCTCAAAGTAAGTCGCGGTCGGAAATTGAATTGCAGTACTGGAACACAAACTTACACTAAATTTAGGTGGACACAAAACAATTAGTCTGCCTGTAGTACGTGATTCATGTATGCATAAACAGATGAGCTCCAAAGTATCCCCGCGATATCGCATGCTTAGTGTTGAAAATATCCAATATCCAAGTCTACAATCACCGTTATAAAACTTGTAGCGTTAAGACATTCAACACCTTATTCTTGAATGGCAAGCTGGCATCTCGCAATTTCGAACGGTAGTGAAGCCTGGAAAATGGTCTTGCTTTGACAAAGCAAGTAATCAACTATTCTGTAACTCGACTACCGGAGACCATCAGTACTGAACTAAGTATGCGAAAAATTGCTCCGTTTAGAAAGGCATTTAGAGCACTGAGGATGCAGATATTCCGGAAGCCTGTCCTGAACGCTCAACCTGACCAGTCGCTAATAACATTTTATAAAAATTCCCCGGCTAAAAGTGCTGTTTGAGTCATCCGTGATAACACTGACCATATATGACATTTTCTCTGCTTATTATCATGTTGGCCGTGCTACTGTATCACTTCGGAAGGACAACTACTGCGCAAAGCTCATGCTAACTACAATGGCCTCGCTAATTCCTCAACTGCGCTCCAGTCGCATTTGCCATTAATAGCGGGTTCTGTTAGTGGACCCGATTTTAAACGCGCGCACACCTTAGCTACAGACAATAAGGGAACTCGAATTGATTTTTGGGGTTCCAGTTATACTGAGCGAAAACGCACAGTTGTGCATCACCAATTCGTATGTCACAATTGCAGCAAAGGTACTTAAGTATAACGCAAACCCTGACGATATCAAACAGTGAAAGAGGCAGCAACACACAAGCACAATCTACACAGCTACATACCTAACAATTACATACGGATATACACATATACACACACATTAACTGTTATATTAAACATGTATTTTTGTACATCTTTGACCACACTTTATTTTGTTAACATGATCATGCCTGTGAAGGTGTGCCTCGCGTTGTCGAGAATAAAATGTTTAGTTATTTTCGAGTAGTTTCGGTTGGATAGCTGGCAAACCCGTAGGCTGATTGCGTGACTCTTTCACTAAGTGAGGTTAGACGAATTCAGTTCGTTTAAGAAAATTTCCCCGTTATTAAGCTTTGACCGATCAGCGTGGGGTCCCAAACCACAAAATCCACATATCCTAGAATGCTGGGAATCATTGCAGTGAGCTCGGCGGTACCATTTCTGGGTTGCATGTATTCTAATCGAAACGCAACTAAGAGTATTGCATGCAGTTGTTACTTTCTAAGGAATTAGGCACATTTATCTTGATCACACAAACCATATTCACTCTACGCCAGTAACCACTAACGCAGCGAACATCGTAGTTAGGCACGACACGGTCAGTAAGTTATCTATGCTAGCCAACAACGCCGAGCATGGCGACTTCCCCACTGAAATAACAAGGCGTTCGTTCGGACAACTGGTTAGGACACCAGTGAAACCGTTTACACAACAACGGTTGCAAAGTGTATTGCTGGCAACAATTGACACCAAGCAACCCTTCGTGAAGTTTTAGGTATGAAAAAGGAATTTATATTGGTTAACAAGTGCTGTTTTACGAGACCCATTGGGTGGTCTGTAGGTTAGCGAACACAGTTAATGAAAAAACGGTTAGTAGTTCTACTGTCTAAAGAATGGGGTTATCACTTTTGTGCAGTATGCCTGCACTCAGCGTGGTTTCACAGCTCCAGTAGGGGTCAAATAATCGAGCCAAGGTATTTTCCAAGAGTAGGATGGAGGGATAGAGCAAAGTAACAAGATGTAAGTGGTGGAGTGCGTCGTCTAAGCGACTTTTAATTATGGCTAGTGTACCTGTAGAAACGACCGATTCAGAGAGAGCGTTTCACGGGTGACGCATACGAAGCGGTTTTATTATTCTTTTATTTTCAAGGGGTGACCATTCACCTTTGTGTTACTGCTGAACTGCAGTAAAAAGTAGCACACGTGATTTGGATTGTGTACAATCAAGTATATCATTATCATGTCGCCTCGCAATCCGTGATACCGCCCGCTGAATAGTCCTAGACGTTTCAACATCTGCTCGCATGGAAGATGGCGCATTTCAATGACGTATTTAGAAGCCCGACCTTGAGGTTGCTCTAGTGCAGCAAAGCTGTGCTTCTGGCATGATTACCAGGCTTGAATTGTCTATTGGACATGGTGTGAACATACGCACTGAGCATCCATCCGAAAATCGTGGTGTCTAGTTGTCCGAACGCCCATCACAACAGCCCGACGTGTTACTTATCATTTTTCCATGCCATTTCGGATTGTCGGGAGCAACTCAAGTTATCCGGAACCAGTACGTCAAAGTCGAATTCGACGAACGATCGCTTATCCGCATCCAGTGTAGTCGACACTCAGGTGCTTATTCAACCAAGTCAATCGAGATAGAATGTATGTAAGTTGAATGATTCATTGAGGCTTACGCGAGTGAATACAAAAAATGACACATTTTATTGCGTCAAGAAGCCTGATGTTGTGCACCGAAATGCCCAAAGTTCCTTAAAACCGCCACTAGTAAACTCATTACTGGTACGTTTCAGAAACAGATAAACACCCTTATCAGTGTCAAAGTTAATTACCAATTGAAAAATGAATCCAGTTTCGGTCAGTCGAAATGTTTCACGTTTCTACTCCCATTCCACCCGTCTTTCTTCCCTTGCTGTGCTAATTAAAGGGGCTGTGGAACTACTGATACGACTTGCGAGGGGCGAACACCGAATACCGAAATCTGCAGGAGTGACTGCATTAGCGGCGCTGACTAAAGGCAATTCAGTGATCTGCCGGTGAGTTGGAATTAGGATTTCATTAATGCGTGAAGTAACTACAGTATGTGAGAGAAAACTCTTGTTTCATTGAGTTTTTTTGTCAAAATTGTTTAACGAGCAGTTACTGAAAAGTAGCACAGTATAGTTGCACTAAATTCATCTCCTCACACCATGCATCGAAAAGCAGGGGCCAGCATCAATTACGCTGCAACTTGAAGCATGGTACTCATTAGTTGGGCTAATGAAGTACCGAGACCCCAGTGTTCTTATCATGCCAATTTTCAATCCGTCGTTTTGATATGCTCACCAGGTTTGGTTATTCAATCGAAAGTGCTGACATAAAAGCTAAGGAATATTACCGGTGTGTGACGCCTCTTCGCGGGAGAAGAAGCGATTGTATCCAACCTTCCATGCTGAGTGATCAGACACAACCTTCGTACAACCAACAAATTGTTTAGAAAAACTAAAAAGAACAAAATGGGCGGAATATATGCTTATTGCTAAAACGTGCAATCTCGTTAGGATTAAAGGTGCTCAAGAAGAGCTAGCTGGGGAGATATATGAGAAAATGTTCCAAGTGGGTTTGAGTCATCGTTCGGGTAGCGTTACGGGTGTATTCGCTTATAGAAACAAAATTACTCAATAGAGAGTTCGTCACAGCCAGCTTTCAACTCAGATAGTTCACTACATGCATGGAAAAGCAGTAGAATGTGTTTTCGAGATTTGACAAACAAACTGCCCAGTTATCCTTGGTACAAAAGGAAACTATAATGTTGCACTATTTTGCACATCAAGCGAATACCGTGAGGAAAGATGCTTCAAATTACTACCAGATCATTGCTAACAAAATGTGTATTAGTTAAGTCTGACGCCTCTGTTTATTAAATGCAAAAGTTGAGACCACACGTTGTTCCTCAGATATATATACATGCACCCAAATTCCAGTGTCGCAGTAATTAATGCACTACTAGTTATGTTCTGTCAGGGGGCAGGCCAAACGGTCAGTTATCTGATAATAGTTGTGGACTACAACATGCCGGATTACGCATGGACCTCAAGTCATGTAAGGACCAAATATATGACTCTGATAACTACTTTACGTTCATACGGACGGATCCAGCATGTCATATCTCCAACTAAAGAGCATCACACAGTGGACCTAATATTCACCATTGGCACGTCACCAGCATCCGCTGGTATTCTAGAACACTTTTGTGATAATGATCACAGCGTGGTGTCAGACTCATTTAGTAATCCCACACGAGATCACACATCGGCTGTGCCCAAATTCCGAGTTCATACCAGGAAAAATAAAGCCATTGACTGGGTCCTGATTACAACGTTAATGAGATCTGCTCAGTGGGATAGCTTTCTCATCACTGATGACACAAACTACAGCAGATTTTCTCCACAACAATATTAATAGATGCAATTATACAATCGCTCCAAGTTTGTTTCGACATTCTCCACTTAGGAATACAGAGCTTACGTCACATAAAACAACCTTAAAGCCCAAAATGTTGCTATCGGCATACCGAGAAGCAAATGCCTTCTCCTTCTTGATACAACACAACAAGTTGCCCACAGCACTACTGATGGCATGTCACACCAAACAAATCGCTGATGAAAAACCAGCCCTCTACAGTCAATGTAAAACCTTGGACTACTCAGCCTTTTAAGTACAGGAATATCCTTCGGAATCAAGACACCATCTCACAGGTTGCAACAGATAATCTCATAGTAATTGATCCTGCCCACATCCGTGAAATATTTGGTCAGTGCTTCTGCGCCTCCTTTTACGTAGATACTAACCTCCAAGTTTGGACATACCAGAATTCACAATTGATCAACTCATCCATGTTAAGTTTGAAGTCTGTGGCATACCAAGCTCACAAAATGCACAAAACTATCCTATTTCCGCGGACCATCTAATGTATCGCTCGCACATTCCAACTCGACGGTCTCGACATAACCTTGTTGCTACTGTATATACTCAGAATATCCGTGAACTGTATTATTACGTAAGCAGCATGGAAGGAAGCTATTGTCATACCGCGACCTAAATCAGCCTCGCTATTCGAAACCAAGTATTAACGCCCAACAACTAATACATCTATCGTATCAAAAACTGGAGCGACACATAAAAACAAAACGATCGACTTCCTACTGTCAGCAAAATCAATCATAGAATCTCAGCATGGCTTTCTGAGTGCTCGTTCATGTGTAATATGTCATTTATACATGTACGTTTATACATCATTTAACTGCCTCACAAGATAAAGGAAACTCTGCAGCCGTTACTTATGAATGGAAGGATTTTGGTGAGTACTTTTGTTCGTCGCAATTAGCCGACAATTCAGATATGTCGACCAGCTGTCCGGAAAAGCACCAGACGGCCGTTTCGCCCTATTGGGGCTCATCAGTGGTGCGCATCCTTCGGTCCTCTGCGGAGGATCGAACCCATGACTGCTAGTGGCTCTTGCCAACTAGCCCGCAGTTTATGCAACTGCGCCATGGAGGACGGTATCTGACTATCATGAATTGTTAGCTAAATGCGATATAGCCCGACGCATCCTCCACTGCCATGCAGGCACCTGCCATGCAGATGACAGCGGTCGGCCTTCCGGCGTCAGGACTTACCGGTTACGGCAGCTATGAATCGACATAGCATTTTGTGGAATCCGTACGGGCGAATTAGTATTACTTATCAATTCGCCCGTACGGATTCCACAAAATGCTATGTCGATTCATAGCTGCCGTAACCGGGAAGTCCTGACGCCGGAAGGCCGACCGCTGTCATCTGCATGGCAGGTGCCTGCATGGCAGTGGAGGATGCGTCGGGCTATATCGCATTTAGCTAACAATTCACGATAGTCAGATACCGTCCTCCATGGCGCAGTTGCATAAACTGCGGGCTAGTTGGCAAGAGCCACTAGCAGTCATGGGTTCGATCCTCCGCAGAGGACCGAAGGATGCGCACCATTGATGAGCCCCAATAGGGCGAAACGGCCGTCTGGTGCTTTTCCGGATAGCTGGTCGACATATCTGAATTGTCGGCTAATTGCGACGAACAAAAGTACTCACCAAAATCCTTCCATTCATAAGTAATACTAATTCGCCCGTACGGATTCCACAAAATGCTATGTCGATTCATAGCTGCCGTAACCGGGAAGTCCTGACGCCGGAAGGCCGACCGCTGTCATCTGCATGGCAGGTGCCTGCATGGCAGTGGAGGATGCGTCGGGCTATATCGCATTTAGCTAACAATTCATGATAGTCAGATACCGTCCTCCATGGCGCAGTTGCATAAGCTGCGGGCTAGTTGGCAAGAGCCACTAGCAGTCATGGGTTCGATCCTCCGCAGAGGACCGAAGGATGCGCACCACTGATGAGCCCCAATAGGGCGAAACGGCCGTCTGGTGCTTTTCCGGACAGCTGGTCGACATATCTGAATTGTCGGCTAATTGCGACGAACAAAAGTACTCTGCAGCCGTTAGCTACCTCGGTACGCACAATGCTTTTGTTTGGAAATCTAATGTCCATCATGCTGTCTTATGCAATCGCTGAACCGCTGCTTTCGTGGTTCAAACCGTACATTACAAACCGCACGCAGCTGGTACAGATTCAACAACACAAATCTGAAACAACAGCAGTCACAGTCGGAGAATTGCAAGGCAATGTCTCTGGCGCTCTATTGCTATTTTTGGGTGGCGCCTGGGATAGTAGTCTGTAATCAAAGACACGTAAAAGCCGTGGCATATACGGGACAGTATAGAAGTTGGGGGCTACTGAACCCAACGTATATTGTGCAGACAAAACGATTTGTGTCAACGAATGTGCCGTCAGTAAAACAAGTAGACGTTTTGAAGGTTAAAACAACTGTAAACTCCAATGTTGCAAAATACTGAAAGAGCGTGTTTTCCGATACACTACATTTGAGTATTTTAAAAATACATTTAACGCAGTGGAATTCGGAACACCATATGTTTTTGCCGACGATAACTAAATCATCTGCACTTTTCACCTTGGTACCATAGACGAAGCTATCAGCATGATCCAGCTCGAACGGTACGCACCCAGAATCTGGTGAGCAAAGTAGGGAATGTTATTTGCGGCAGGTACGCGTTGTGCAATGTTCTATAGAGACGACATAGCAACTAGTGTTCTAACCATGGATGCAGGGTGATGTGGGAACGGAACAAGTCAAAGTTTGCGACTAATTTAGTGGATACTCCATCACTGTCTTACTGCTTATCATGGAGCCCCCACTCATTCCACTCGGATTTAGCAGCTCCACAAGGTGGACATAAAACTGTCGGAGTACTCCTAACGTTGCAACATATTACTCACTTTCGGGAATTTTGACGACCTTGTTATAGGAATTTAGTCGAGAAGCTTCTTCCCTCTCAAGTTCCCGTGGGATATTTTACTCTCACTCCAGGCTATATGATTCACCTAAACTCGTGCTCATCCAATCCCGTATTTGGTCGCTATGCCACATGTTGCAGCCACTAGTCAGTGCTGTCGGGCCAACCCCGCCAAGCAGTTTGTCGCACCTACTGTTGATCGACAAGCAACGCATCCTTTATTCACGCTTTGTTTACTTAGCGTGCGTCAGTTAGCCTACCAAGCCTAGAGGACCAGTTGTTTGCTCCTTGCGTGTGTGAGTTCACTAGTGCCTCCATTTCCAGGCTACAACATCTCGACCTGACCGCAGGTGCACGTCTGGACACCTTTGTTGAATTTTAACCTGTGGCTATTATCGACAAACGCAACCGTGGAATCTAACCCACCTATCAACTTCCAACTGCGAGAAATCACAGAAGGTTGGTTTTCATTGCATTATTTTACCTTGACGTCTGAGTATAAACAATGGCAAGCTTAGATCGCGATGGCCCCACTGAAGTGTCACCGTACTCGGCAAGCTAAGCGTAGTGTACTTTCCACGCCACCAGCAAAGCGAATAAAATGTGAGGTCCCAAGAACGAAGCGGATCTGTTCCTCTGCTAACAATAACA